TCATCAGATCCAGAAACTGAAAGAGCTTCTTGTGTCCTCTCATCCTCTTGTATCAGAATGTGGCCCATAGCCAGGAAAGACTGGGACAGTCTCCCATGATACAATACTATGTTTTCTGACGCAATATTATGCTTATTTTGCAAGAGGTGATAGGTGGGCTGTTTCAGTATTATTCATGGGTTTTGTCCACAAGCTCAATTTGAAGAAGAGACTGTATTGCTTTGAATTGCATCAGAGATTTCCAAGACAAGATTATTCGTTTAACTAGTTTAAAATCATTCATTAGCAGAATGGAAATCTAATGTTCACACAATTTCTAGGTTAAGCAACTGTTGCTATTTTAGCCAATTCCATGTCAAAAACAGAAGGAAAGTACAAGCGTGAAATGACCAGAAAGCACTGTGTTTATGAGCAAATTTCATATGTAATGATGCCTTTCTGTACTTGATATAAAATGTATTAGAAACAGAATGTTGTAGCTTTAAAGTATTTGACACATTTGTTTATCTTCATATTATTTCCCTATTGCTAGATTCTCTTTAAATCCAGGGTGTTTTTCTGTAAATAGAACCATACTCCTTCTTCTGAATATGAAGTAATCAACTGCTTTTGGCTAGAACTGTGACAAACTATCTTCTAATCATTGGTCAGTGGGGTGCCCCCACTAAGGGGCAGCAGGGATAGAGGGTGTTAGTTTAGTGGGTTGTCTTTACATTTGTGATGAGAAACATCATATTACATTCTGATACAGCAAGGCACAAGTTAGCTTAAGTGGTCACAACAATAGTTGCTGCACCACATCAAAAAAGAGAAAATCTTAATGTTCAAGTGCCGAGAAGTAGAGCAGATTTCATGGTTGTTCTGTTTCTGGCAAATCTCTACTTGCCTCAGTATTGTAATTTTCACCACATCAGACTTTTCTCTCATAACCAAAGCATTACTACTAAGAAACAGGAATAGAACATGTATTATAGGGTGGGAAAAACTCTGTTTACAAATACATATCTTCACTGATTTCTATATAGGGAAGAAAACACCTACACACACATGAAAGGTGAATTAACAGATTTAATCATAGGTTTCCAAAGTTGAATGGGGCATGAAGATTTAACTAAAAAAAGCAATAACTTCTTATATCATGATGCAGAGAACATAAAACAAGCCCTGTGTTATTGTTGGAAATGAACCTCACACAGTGCTTAACTTTCAATGACCTTGCCCTGTGAACATCTTTTCAATTTGTTGAGTGCTAAAAATAACACAATTGTAGCTGCAAAGGATTACTCAGACTAAGATAGGCACTTGAAAGGCATTCTTTACAGCTTCTGTTAGTTCACACAAAGTTAGTTCACACAAGAGCACAGGAAATACACCTGGATAGCAAGCTCTCTTACACACACACACACACACACACACACTCAGATCATTGAATTAATCAGCCTACGGAAAACTTTACTAAAATCCGTGGAGAATTTTTAAAGTGAGAAAAAACAGAGCCATAGCAGGAAACAACAACATGAAGAGTTACTGTATCCTGTAACAAGGTCAGGAGTTGCTAGGGGGGCCCTAATGTCAGTCATCATTGATGCAAGGGATGGGATATGTCAAGAATGGAGGAATGGCCTTTGTTGCAGGAACTGCAGTGAGGCAACACTTAAGGCAAGGGCATTCCCAGCTGCTGTGGCTTCAAACAGCAAAACATAAAAATCAAAGATGTGGAACACTTGCTGCTAGCAGGGCTGCTAAAAGTGTTATTTCTGAGTGTTACAGTGGCTCATCTCTAAATGTTACAGTAGCCCCATTTACATCTAGGTCAATCCTAATTAAAATTAGTCACTGTTAAACACAATATTTACTTCCATTTGTGCATGCATTTGCAGGGGGTGGGACAGGTAGCAATAACTTATAGCACTAAGGTTTGGAAGCCTTTGTTTTAACCTTTTATATAGTTTGGTATTAATGTGAAGGCCACTACCCCTGGCCTTTAAATTCAACACATTTGGAAAGTCAAAGCATTTAAGTGCTACTGTGGTGCCATGTGACTCACATTCATAGGATTCTTTTTCACTGTGTTGTCTTTCATCTCGAAACAACATGATGTGTCATTCAACAAGGGTTTAAGAAACTAGACCGGGGTGGCCAATCTGTGGCTCTGGAGCCACATGCGGCTCTTCAGAAGTTAATATGAGGATCCTTGTATAGGCACCGACTCCAAGGCTGGAGCTACAGGTGCCAACTTTCCAATGTGCCGGGTGTGCTCACTGCTCAACTCCTGACTCTGCCACAGGCCCTTCCCACACTACACCCCTTCCTGCCCCCTCCCCTGAGCCTGCAGTGCCCTTGCTCCTTCCCCCTTCCCCCCCGACCCTCCTGCAGGCCACAAAAGAGCTGATAGGGAGGTTCAGGGAGGGAGGGGGAGCTGCTGATTGGCAGGACTGCTGGTGGGTGGGAGGTGCTGGGATCGGGGTCGGGGAGCTGATGGTGGGCTGCTGACACATTACTGTGGCTCTTTGGCAACGTACATTGGTAAATTCTGTCTCCTTCTCAGGCTCAGGTTGGCCACCCCTGAACTATACAGTCTGTCATCTACAGCAGTAACTGTACTATTCAGTGGATGAAAAATCATGATTACTTTACAGAGTGTCAGTTGCTCTACATTTTCAGTCACTGTTCAGCTTTCCTTCGATTCTTTTGACTGGTGTCAGATACAGTTCAACAAAGTACCTCCAGATAGTAACAAAGAATTATATAGTTCTAATTTTTCCAATTTTTTCCTCACCTTCCTTGAACAATTTCTATTTAGTTACCACATTTGTAAGGTGCCACAATTTGGGGCGGAGTTGGGGAAAGCATAAAAGCTCCACTTTGGAAATGAATCTGCAATATCAACTCTCCTCTCCAAACTCAGGGCCAAAAATTCTACCCTTGCATATGCCTAGGCAACTCCCACTGGAATCACTGGCAGGTTCATGTATGTGTGAACTGTTAGGACACCCAGGAGCAGAGACTTGTCCAATAGCAGTAGAGGCCAAATCAGCCTTTTCAGCATACATCTGACCAGGAAATATTGTCATTTTCTGCTGGAAGAAGAGCCGGTCTTTTGAATTCCTGCTTTTGTCAACTCCAGGTAAGACCAGTGTAATGCCCATGAAGGCTACCTAGAAATTACAGCTAATATAGCCTATAGTGGTCCACCTCCTAAAGAAGAAACACTGACAAGAATATACTGCACAAGTGCTTTGCAATCTACAGGATCCTATCCAATTCAAAGTCCTGCTCCTCTGCCACAAAGCCCTAAATTGGGCTGAAACCTGTCCATATCTGTGACCAATGGGTGCTCTCTCTCTCTCTGTCTCAGGGCAGCATTCATTCCGGGCACTTCAAGTGAAAGAATTCCATATGCACCTATATGGGGCCTTGGCCAAAGCTTTCCTGGTGAACAGTCTGGGTTGCAGATCTAGGCTCTGAAACAGTCAAGACTGAGTCCAAACTTTGCCACGTTCACAGCATATTGCAAGACCCACCTCTTTGATCAAGTGTTTTCCTGCTGGGAGAGTGGAATACCCTAACTCCAACTGGAGTACAACCTTAGTATTAAAGGGTGTGTAGGAGAAGTACGCAGTGGATTGCTTTGCTTTCTTCAGGGTGGCAATCTTACTTATATTTGTAGAAGATATTTATAATTCAGCTTGGAAAAAAGGAGACTAAAGGGTGATATGATAGAGGTATATAAAATCATGAGTGGTGTGGAGAAAGTGAATAAGGAAAAGTTATTTACTTGTGCCCGTAATACAAGAACTAGGGCCCACCAAATGAAATTAATGGGCTGCAGGTTTAAAACAAATAAAAGGAAGTTCTTCACACAGCACACAGTCAACTTGTGGAACTCCTTGCCTGAGGAGGTTGTGAAGGCTAGGACTATAACAAGGTTTAAAAGAGAACTAGATAAATTCATGGAGGTTAAGTCCATTAATGGCTATTAGCCATGATGGGTAAGGAATGGTGTCCCTAGCCTCTGTTTGTCAGAGGGTGGAGATGGATGGCAGGAGAGACACCACTTGATCATTACCTGTTAGGTTCACTCCCTCTGGGGTACCTGGCATTGGTCACTGAGGGCAGACAGGATACTGGGCTGGATGGACCTTTGGTCTGACCCAGTATGGCCATTCTTCTGTTTTTATGTTAAGATTAACTAGAGAAGAAAGAACTTCAGAAATTAGTTTATAAATTATTGCATAAATAATGTAGAGGCAGAATTTGGCTCTCGGTCTCCTGAAAGCTCAAGCTAATTAATGTACAAACCAAAAATTAAGCTGAGACACTTTCTGCATCATCTCATAGTATTACAAATAAGACTAGTAGCTGAGTTCACTGCAAGCTGTTCTTGTGCATCCAAAGGCAGAATTTGGCCCTAACAATGTTACATTGTATGGTCAGCATTTGGAGAGGCTTGACATTTTGTGATGGTGCAGTTTCAAGGGCCCTCTTCATGACAAAGCTAACAGATGCATAAAAGTGAGCATGTGACCTTAAAGGAGCTCATTATACCAGATTTCACATTCCTTTGAACACCTTATCGCAGCTTTAATTCTATGGCAGTCATACGCCATTAGCCCTTTTACTATTGTGAATGCTACAATGTGAAGTGTTATTTTATTTCTAAAGAAGTTAACAGTGAGATAAAGTCAATATATTACCATGTGAAATATGAGTTTTCAATCAAATGTCACTTAAAGTGTCAACGCATTTGCGAAAAAAGCAGACCAATATTTTTAGTATCCCATACAAATATGTTTGCCATTCTTACCAAGGAAGGCACCAGCTCTGTGTTCCCATGCAACAAAATCCTGTCAGCACAGTTAATCCCTGTGGATGTCAGAAGAATAAGCCCCAGAAGAGCAAACAACTGCACTGTCAAAACCATGTCATCAACATGCAAGCCTATTTCTAGTATTATTACACACTCCATTGCCTCCAATCACAACCCAGGAAAACTAGAATCCATGTTCAGAGTCATCTGATCTTGAGGAATTGACACAGCATGGCTAATAATCCCACAGAATTCAGAAACTACATTGGATTTTAAAAAGGCAGCCTTATTTTTGTACCTTGGATTTGAAGCAGATTAAATAATAGAAAAGGGTAGGCTATCAGCTCATGATTTGTATACTACAGCTGTCCAGTTTGAGCTGACAGACATTCTTTGCAGGGCTAGTTGACTGAATAAGAAAGGCAGAGAAAAACTCAGAGTAATAGGTGGACTGTAAAAAAAAAAAAAGTGTGATAGAGGGGGGGAAATGAATGCAACAACAACCAAAGCTGATGGAGTTACTCACTAGAACAAATAGTTAAAGCTCCTTTGTAAACTACAAAATGAAGGTATAAAGGAAACTGGATTAGTTCATAGTCCTGACACACACTTCAAGTTGTAATATAGTGTAAATTACTGTTCTAAGTAAACTTGGACTAAGCTTTCTGCAAGCAGGACAACAATAGAACCACCATGAAAGGTGAGCTATAATTTACTTTTTAGACCTATAGTGAAGTGCTCTGTAAAGAAATATTTCCTTTGCTAACCAGTTTCTATTTTTAACTTTACAGTGGAAGTTACTGTTTAAGTTGTTTTTCTTGTTTCTGAAGCTAACAGTTGTAAAACGGCACAATGCTACAGAATATTTTTTTCTTGAACACAGAATTCAGGCACTGTAGCAAAATTTTCAAATACAATTTCATTTAGAGTGTTAATTAATAAGTGGTTTGCAAGGTAAATTGTTGTCACAAAAATCCAAACCTTTCATTTACAGATTTAATGTGTTCAATACGGAAATCTCATTCTGTTGTTCTTTTAAGATAGTGTTCCTGTTACTAATTAATGTTTGAGCTCTACACGTCAATATGCACTGTATCCTTTATTTTCCAAGACTTTTAAATAATAATTGATGAGAAGCTTTTCTACTTTGAAATAACAGATACTATTAATGATTCGATGCATCACAAAGACAATGTTAAAAAGGATTTATCCACCTATTGCTCTGATTCTCCGGAGCCAAAATAATTCATATGGGATCAGCAGCCAAGACTCCCTAATATATCTTTATTATTCCATTGTATGCATATTAACATAACTTTAGGCAGCATGATGTTTTTAAAGGAATAGCGTTAACCACATATGACAGGTACAAGGTATTATTATTTCAGTCAAAGCCAACTGGATCACTGTCAGGAGCCATGGGAGTAGATAATTTTAAATATTAAATATCATTGAGTACTCCTGTCACCTCATTTATCATTTTAACAACTGTACTTCACAAATGTTTGCTTAGTGGATAGATGTTCAAATCTTTGGAAAATACAGCTGGCATTCAGATAAAGGAATTTCAATTAATAAGCATAAACATGGGTGGATATTTTAAAGAACAGACTAAAAAAATCTGGCTCACTGGAAACTTTTGTTGAATCCTCTGTAGTGAAGTCTTTGAAGATTATTGTTTTCTCTAAAGGAACACAAGCTTAATTCTTTAAGGTGCAACATTCAATCAAAAAAGTAACTAAACAGGGACTGTGCTTGCAATTTTAACATACAGTGATTCAGAATCACTGGCTCGGAACCACTATCACTATAGAAAGATAAACATTACAATTTAATATCCTTGGGAACTCTATGAGAGTGTTTCATTCCTATGGGTATGTAGCAGCTAGAAATTCATCATATTTTTATGGCAAGGGGGTGATGGCTAAGCTTGCTAAAAGTTATTTGCATTTAAGATAAAGCCATGAAAAGTAGCTCAGTTTGAAACTAGAGAAAAATTATCTTTAGTCTACATTATATGAGGTTTCCAAAATTTTATCTAGGGCTGATTTATACTATTCTGATGTACCAAACTGTGAAACAAATGTGCATTATTGTCCATTACCAAAAGGTACATCTTTTGTCTATGCTACCAATGTTTGTATTACCAAAACACACCGATTATAAATTAGTTTCACCACATTATCACTTCTTTTACTTCTTGTACAGGTGAACTGCTTTTGGTTTCAAGTATCATTGTACTAATGCATATGGTATGTGGATGCCCCGAAAAGTGCCTATGTCATCAAACGTCAAAGACAGTGGACTGCAGGAATCAAGGACTTGTTGAAATTCCCTCCCACATACCTCCTGAAACTCTAATATTACAGTTGCAGAATAACCATATTTGGAAAATCAATCAAAATGCATTCAATGAGACCCCTTTGCTCAAAATTTTAGACTTGTCTAATAATTCTGTTTCAAATTTGTCATCGGGTGCTTTCCAAGGATTACGATATCTACAGGTTCTAAACCTAACCAAGAACTTGATTCATTACCTAGAAAACAAGACTTTCAATTCCCTCCCTCAATTAAAAGAACTGGATTTGTCATCCAACAGTATATTACATTTGCCTGAAACTCTAGGAAATAATACAGAGAATATAACTTTATTGTCTGTTAAGTATAACAAGGTTCAAAGACTGGACAGAATTCTGCTGGAATCCCTCCCAAACCTGAAAGTTGTTCTTTTCAAGAATAATCCATGGCAATGCACTTGTCATGTCATTGGCCTTAAACTGTGGCTAGAGAGCTTTTTATACAGAGGTAAGTAATTTTCTCTATTAGATAAAATGTAAAGAAAATGGTCTAACATATACTTGATCTATCCGAGCTACCATGGCCTTGATACCAGAAAGCACTTAAGCACATACTTAACTTTCTCTCTGCTCTGGACTAGAGTTTGGCAAATACCTGAGTTTTCAGACTGCTAGAAGTTCAAGAACATAAACTCAATTTGGGTTAAATTGAATCCAGAATTTAAATAAATATTGGCAAAGGAAACATGTAGTTTGACGCAAAGCATTTTGTTTCCAGACTTTTAAAATAGGCTCAATTAAAAAAAAAAGAGGAAATAGAGGTAATGGTTGTGGTGTGGTATATATCTTATAACTTTTAGCCCGGTACTTAGGATATTCACCTGGGATATGGGAATCCCCACTTTGGAGCAGGGATTTGAACCCCCAGAGATTAGTGCCTACCAGGCTACTGACTACTCTGGGGGAGGTCTCTCTCAGTGTCTCCTGGTGAAGCTGCTTGTATAAATAATTATTCATTCTAGTAAGGACTTGAACTTGGGTCTGCCCCCTTCCAGCGGAGTGCCCTAACCACTGGATTAAAATGATAATACAGAAATACACAATGCCACGGTAAAGGAAAAATGAAGTTTGTATGTAGTTTAAAAGCAGCACAAAGTTGTTTGGCCATATCTCTACCTGCATTTAATCTCTTCCATTTATAAATCCCTTAGTTATTCTACATAAAAAGAGAATAAGACTTAACTCTGTTTTTTGTAAGTCAGAAGTTGTCTCGCTCTGCTTTTGAATGGCATTGCAATGCTTTGTTCTGAGCAGCTTTAGAATCCAAGATGATTAGATAAAAGGGAAAAAAATCATTTATAATCCTAAAATGTTTGTTTTTTTTTAAGTATATCTCTTTTATATGCAGTGTAGGAAGTGAAAAGTATTAAAATTAAAGGAAGACCTGGCTCTGATTGCTGTGGGAGCTAGTCAGACTTTGAGAAGTCAAAAGAACAAGCCAATCCTATTTCCTCTAAAATAAACATTGATGCATGAATGTGATACAAATACTTCCTTGGTTTCCTATCTGTACGTAGATCAACATATTGGCATGGTACAAGGCAACAGCTCATGTGAAGATGCTCTATGTCTTCTGTTTGCCCTCTGTAACACAATTGCTATTCAGTGTCCATTGATAGCCTTCACTCATAGTTATATGGGCAGGAATTTTGAAGATGAGATTCGGTTTGTGCACAGAAGGAAGGCTGAAGAGATGAGATTGAAAGGAAATCTGACATGTCATAACCCATGACAGATTGTCCTTTGTTGTGCCTAAATAGAGTTGCTTTAATCATTCAACAAACAGAAGAGTTTCTGTGGAACTAACCAACTAATTTTCACTCCTTATTTCTCCTTCTAATTAATTACTTTTAAGTGACTTTGTGCAAGAATAACTTTAAACCTTGCAAAAATAACCTTAAAAACCTCACACTTTGGTTACTAGAACTGTTTAAAGTTCATATGCACACTTCCTTGTTAAAATGAAATGTATATAATTGGACAATTTATATGTCCAGTTAGTGAATTGGTAACAAACAATCAAGTCTCCAAATGTTTCACCAGGAAATTCTCACTACCATCCAGTCACACACTGAGTACACCACAGGTAATCACTAAACTACACCCCCCCCTCAAAATTTTATTTTTATTTCAGGAATTACCACCATGAGAAGAGACATATTTCTTTTTACAGTAGCTCTCTTTTTATGCTGTGGCCAAATCATTGGGCCAGTTCCTTAGCATACCCAGCGCAGACGGAAAGCAGCATTTATTGTGTACCTGAAGGAAATGGTTAGCATAAGGGGAATCTCCAGCACAAGTTAAGCCATTGCAGCTGGGCACAACTTAGAGTGGACTTGAGGCTGTTCTAAACTGTGCTGGAGGCACAGCTCTCAGGCGTTCTAGGAGTGGGGAGCCGGAATGATGGTGTAATAGCACCTCCAGAGCCATCTGTTCTAGAAGCAGCATTGGCACAGACAAGGATCTGGTCCGTTTGGATCTGTGTTAAAGCATCTAAAGTACATTTAATTAAGTTCCATCAGTACAAGATGCCTAATACTTGGCTAGGTAACAGGTGGGATTAGTTATAGAAAATAATAAATAAAATTAAACAAGCTTTTAAGCCAGTGATATGTGCAATTTATCAAAATATTCAACAGGCTAAGTTGATAGAGTGGGTCTGTAATTTAACTGATAAAAATTAGTCTCCTGAGGGCTTTCTCTCCCAGGGTTAAAGTCATACGACTTTCTGGACTGTTAAACTATTAAGTTATTTGTTTCAGCTTCCAGGCTTTTGTTACATTTTGCTGGACCTATTCCCTAGAACAAATTTTAGCAGGGGTTCTGAATTCTGTATGCAGCAGAAGGTAATGATCCAAGATAAGCATATCAGATTATCTTAATTACTATGCCAGCAGCACAGCTTCTTTAGTTTATCTCAGAAACACAGACATTGTTTGGTTTCAGAGGAACAGCCGTGTTAGTCTGTATTCGCAAAAAGAAAAGGAGTACTTGTGGCACCTTAGAGACTAACCAATTTATTTGTGCATGAGCTTTCGTGAGCTACAGCTCACTTCATCAGATTTATACCGTGGAAACTGCAGCAGACTTTATATACACACAGAGAATATGAAACAATACCTCCTCCCACCCCACTGTCCTGCTGGTAATAGCTTATCTAAAGTGATCAACAGGTGGGCCATTTCCAGCACAAATCCAGGTTTTCTCACCCTCCACCCCCCCACACAAATTCACTCTCCTGCTGGTGCTAGCCCATCCAAAGTGACAACTCTTTACATAATCAAGTCGGGCTATTTCCTGCATAGATCCAGGTTTTCTCACATCCCCCCCACCCCCATACACACACAAACTCACTCTCCTGCTGGTAATAGCTCATCTAAACTGACCACTCTCCAAGTTTAAATCCAAGTTAAACCAGAACATCTGGGGGGGGGGTAGGAAAAAACAAGAGGAAACAGGCTACCTTGCATAATGACTTAGCCACTCCCAGTCTCTATTTAAGCCTAAATTAATAGTATCCAATTTGCAAATGAATTCCAATTCAGCAGTTTCTCGCTGGAGTCTGGATTTGAAGTTTTTTTGTTTTAAGATAGCGACCTTCATGTCTGTGATTGCGTGACCAGAGAGATTGAAGTGTTCTCCGACTGGTTTATGAATGTTATAATTCTTGACATCTGATTTGTGTCCATTTATTCTTTTACGTAGAGACTGTCCAGTTTGACCAATGTACATGGCAGAGGGGCATTGCTGGCACATGATGGCATATATCACATTGGTGGATGTGCAGGTGAACGAGCCTCTGATAGTGTGGCTGATGTTATTAGGCCCTGTGATGGTGTCCCCTGAATAGATATGTGGGCACAATTGGCAACGGGCTTTGTTGCAAGGATAAGTTCCTGGGTTAGTGGTTCTGTTGTGTGGTATGTGGTTGTTGGTGAGTATTTGCTTCAGGTTGCGGGGCTGTCTGTAGGCAAGGACTGGCCTGTCTCCCAAGACTTGTGAGAGTGTTGGGTCATCCTTTAGGATAGGTTGTAGATCCTTAATAATGCGTTGGAGGGGTTTTAGTTGGGGGCTGAAGGTGACCGCTAGTGGCGTTCTGTTATTTTCTTTGTTAGGCCTGTCCTGTAGTAGGTAATTTCTGGGAACTCTTCTGGCTCTATCAATCTGTTTCTTTACTTCTGCAGGTGGGTATTGTAGTTGTAAGAAAGCTTGACAGAGATCTTGTAGGTGTTTGTCTCTGTCTGAGGGGTTGGAGCAAATGCGGTTGTATCGCAGAGCTTGGCTGTAGACGATGGATCGTGTGGTGTGGTCAGGGTGAAAGCTGGAGGCATGCAGGTAGGAATAGCGGTCAGTAGGTTTCCGGTATAGGGTGGTGTTTATGTGGCCATTGTTTATTAGCACTGTAGTGTCCAGGAAGTGGATCTCTTGTGTGGACTGGACCAGGCTGAGGTTGGTGGTGGGATGGAAATTGTTGAAATCATGGTGGAATTCCTCAAGGGCTTCTTTTCCATGGGTCCAGATGATGAAGATGTCATCAATATAGCGCAAGTAGAGTAGGGGCTTTAGGGGACGAGAGCTGAGGAAGCGTTGTTCTAAATCAGCCATAAAAATGTTGGCATACTGTGGGGCCATGCGGGTACCCATAGCAGTGCCGCTGATCTGAAGGTATACATTGTCCCCAAATGTGAAATAGTTATGGGTAAGGACAAAGTCACAAAGTTCAGCCACCAGGTTAGCCGTGACATTATCGGGGATAGTGTTCTTGACGGCTTGTAGTCCATCTTTGTGTGGAATGTGGGTGTAGAGGGCTTCTACATCCATAGTAGCCAGGATGGTGTTATCAGGAAGATCACCGATGGATTGAAGTTTCCTCAGGAAGTCAGTGGTGTCTCGAAGGTAGCTGGGAGTGCTGGTAGCGTAGGGCCTGAGGAGGGAGTCTACATAGCCAGACAATCCTGCTGTCAGGGTGCCAATGCCTGAGATGATGGGGCGCCCAGGATTTCCAGGTTTATGGATCTTGGGTAGTAGATAGAATATCCCAGGTCAGGGTTCCAGGGGTGTGTCTGTGCGGATTTGATCTTGTGCTTTTTCAGGAAGTTTCTTGAGCAAATGCTGTAGTTGCTTTTGGTAACTCTCAGTGGGATCATAGGGTAATGGCTTGTAGAAACTCGTGTTGGAGAGCTGCCGAGCAGCCTCTTGTTCATATTCCGACCTATTCATGATGACAACAGCACCTCCTTTGTCAGCCTTTTTGATTATGATGTCAGAGTTGTTTCTGAGGCTGTGGATGGCATTGCGTTCCGCATGGCTGAGGTTATGGGGCAAGTGATGCTGCTTTTCCACAATTTCAGCCCGTGCACGTCGGCGGAAGCACTCTATGTAGAAGTCCAGTCTGCTGTTTCGACCTTCAGGAGGAGTCCATCTAGAATCCCTCTTTCTGTAGTGTTG